TTGCACAGATGTGCCTCAGACTGGCCATAATAAAAGGCCACTCGAAAATGTGCAGTTTCACTGTAATGAGACTTTATTCTCTCAGATTACTTGCACTATAATAGAACTTATGCATCAATGCATGTATACACAATTGAATATTCTAGAGAGTTATATAATTTTATAGTCATGCTTTTGGCTTGTTTAAACTTTGTTTTTTTAATGCAGATATGTCAGATCAGATATATCCTTTAACTCCCACACCACACTCAGGCACATCCTGTCTCAAAATGTTGCGGCAGTTTGGCAACAGTTGCACTGAAACACTTTCCATTGGCTACATTACCGCAGCAATCTGTTAAAATCAAACTAATCTGTAGGTCTTGTCTGTATAAGCTGTACAAAATGTGTGAAATCACATATTGTAGTGACACAGGAAGTTATGTGCTGAACTATTTCTACATTTGCCTAGCAACCTCACGGCAACAACAAACCTCTAGTAAGTGACTGCACCCAATGTGCTAACCGTGTGTCAGTTTGCAAATTCCCACGCTAATTTGCCTTACTATTGACTTTGTTGTATACAATTGTTCCACCTCTAAAATTATGTTACAGGTATTTATGCTAAGCTAGGCTAACAGGCTGCTGGCCGATTATGTAATATTTACAGTACAGACATGAAAGTGGTATCCATTTTTCTATCTAACTCGGCAAAAACAGTGCTTTTCCCAAAATGTTACTAATGATTACTTTAAATAGTTGCTTCACTCTGCCTTACTTCCTCTTATATTTCTGTGTTCCTCTTTGAGTTCTAGTCTCTCACCTGTGCTGGGACCAATCCTGTTCACCTTATATATTATTCCTTTTAACAGGCAACTATCCTTAAATTTTCACTCTTATGCAGATGATACTCAATTATATCTATCGAATAAGCCAGATAACACTAATCAGTTAGCTAAACTTCAAGTGCGCCTACAGGATGCGCATTGGATAAAACACATGCCTGTGGTGTGGAAGACCTGTGTTCAGTTCCCACTGTGACACATCCACCAATGTGTCCCTGATCAAGACACTTAATCTCTAGTTGCTCCAGAGGCATGTGACCTCTGGCACATATAACAATTATAAGGCGTTTTGGATAAAAGCGTCAGTTAAATTAGTAAATTTTAGCTTTTCTGCATTGGCTTCCTATAAAATCCAGAATTAGAATTTAAAATCCTTCTGCTCACCTACAAACTTCTCAATGGTCAGGCGCCATCTTATCTTAAAGACCTGATAGTACCTTACTACCCCACCAGAAGACTGCGTTCCCAGAATGCAGGGTTACTTGTGGTTTTTAGAGTCTCCAAAAGTAGAATGGGAGCCAGAGCCTTCAGCTATCAAGCTCCTCTCCTGGAGGCAGACACCATCTCCACATTTAAGAGTAGGCGTTACACTTTCCTCTTTGATAAAGCTTATAGTTAGGGCTGGCTCAGTTGAGTCTTGAACCATCCCTCAGTTACGCTGCTACAATTATTATTTGTTCTATTATTATCATTATTGTTGCTATCATTGTTATTACTAGCATTCATATTTACATTATGACCATGTGACAGACCACCGTCACTACGGTTGAGTGTGCACTGTGACTGCCATACCAAGGAGCCTGGCTCTTTGGCGTTGCAGTCAAGTTGCATGTTTGGTACCCTGCTCTTGCAAATCTTAAAATACATTCATTGACAACAACAGAGACTCACCAGAGAGCATATTTTTATCACCCACGTACCTGCTCAGCAGCAAACAGCAGACCAAAAAGAAGAAGCAAGAAAGGAAAGCAGACCAGGGCCGGTATTTTTGAAGCTTTTCAGAATTACTCATAAGAACACTGCTAAGAACTGACTTAAGTAAAAAAATTCTTGGCACACAGTTGTGCTTAAATGTTAGTTATCAAGCATCATAGTCCTAATTTGAGTGAAGTGTAGGACTAAATCTTCAGTGTCAGTCTTAGTGCTGATTTACTACACTTTGCTGTGCCGCAAACAGGATTTTGGAGGACGATGTAGACAAGGACCAATCACTGAAGAGATTTCCTTATTTAAGAATATTCTCAGATAAATTCACATTGAATTGTGAAATCCCTGAGAGGAATTTACATTCAACACACGTTTAACAATAAAGAATGTTCAAGATAATACATTATGATATAGGCCAACCCATTAATAAATGAAAGATAAAAAAGTTGATCTTTATATGCCATCAAATGCACCCACATTGCAACTTGAAAGGTGATAACATGTTCACTTGTGCTTAGATTGATTAGAAGATTGTTTCCACCGCCCCCATGTGGCCAAAATAGATAAGAAGCTCAGAGTAAGTTGTTCCTTATTCATTCTCTCTCTCTCAAGAGAACAACATTGCCAAAACTTAAACGATACAATAAAAATAATATAATATATTCTCTATCTATCTTTTTCAACCCAACTTCCATTTGATTTTCATCAATTTTAATATTAAATATTTTTATTAACCTTTTGCTATGCATGTAATGGCAATATACAGCAATTCCTGTAATACCCAATTATTATGTACTATTATTTAGTTTCTGTCTATTTGACAGTGGTCATGATGAAATTTTGAACAAATTATTCATGTACAAATCACCAAAAGGATTTAGCTGTTCTTCATAAAAAAAAAAGAAAACACCTTTATTTAAATAAAAAAAAAATTTAAAAAGCAATGTAAAATGTTGTTTATGCTGTGTTTAGTATTTCCCATTATACACAGAATTTACAGACACAGAACCATTGTCATTTTAAACGTGGTTGACTTGTTCTGCAGGTTCCAACATTGCAATCAGCAGATGAAGAAACAGGTAAGTGGAGGAGGTGATGGAGGAGTAACTGGAGGACAAGTTCATAATCAAAATGTTATCTTGGTACAGAGAAAACTCCCTTTCTTGGATCAGTGAGGAAGTATTCAGATCCTTGACTTAACTGAGCAAAAGTACTAATAGTACACTGGAAAATACTCAATACAAGTGAAAGTTCTGCATTGAGTATAATCAAATATTCTTAAAGTACTCAAAGCAGAAAAATTATGGGATCACCGTCAGCTCTGCAGCCGCTTCATTATTACAGAAGTATCTTCCAGAGTCTGAGACACCAGCTCTGACAATGTGCAGAGATTTATCTGCCAGCGAGCTGTATCCTTTATACGGTTTATGAAGGAGTCTTATGTCCCGGTCACCGTCAATTAGAAGTATGCCGACCCTGCGTCCGTTTCTCTCTCTGCTCCACATCACTTTACCCTCCACAGAGTGAGGACATGGCAGAGTGACGGGGTCCTTCTCCTTGATTGTTTTATGGATTATTCCTGCTCCTGAAACACAGTTTGCAGTTAATTTACAGTAGAAAGTATCAGTGATGTTGTGAGAGAGTCCTGCCTACCAGGTCATTTACCACCACCAGCAGAATAATGTTCAACTGTCAAACCTGAGCAGTGAGCAGTGAGCAGACAATCAATAAGACCTTGTTGGGAGAGAAATTTGATCTAAACTTTCACAACAAGTGGACCAAAAGCTCCAGAACAACTTCTTAAAATTGCTTTTTTTAAATTTTATTTGTGAAAATACTATAAAGGGTGACTTATATGTGTTTTATTCACATGTAGACTATATTAGACCCGTCCAGATCAAAAACCCGTTAGCTGACAAAGCTTCATATAAAGATCACAGGAATCCCTGTTGAACAACAATTGAACGATGTACAATCAAACATATGAAAAATTAAATAGTACTGCCCACAAATTTCAAAATTAAAAGAATGAAAACTCCTTACCCGCACTGGCGTTACAGCCCAGAACTAAGGCTAACAGGCAGCAGTAGATATTCATCCTCCTCCTGTTGCAGACTGATGTTAATCACTAATCATTCAACAGCTTCTGTCTAAGCGCCAAACAGGAAGCTGTGTTTTATTCATGCGCTCCTCACACAAGCCTCGATCTCAAAATAATTTTGCCTTTTATTTGAATACGTGAACATACGTCACTGACACTTGGTGTTTTCCCAAATAAGGCCATCAGTAACAAATTGTAAATTACTAAGGCCTGTCACGTGACTGGTACTTTCCAACAGTCATATTTGTCATCTTGGTCATTGTTAGTCAACGTGTTTTTGTTGTTAAGGTATGAGGGAGTGTTTTTTACGTTGGCACAATTAATGCTGAATGGATTTGGTGTTTCTTAAACATATCAGACAGATAATGTATCTGCAAACTGATGACAACCTTTCTCAACAGTATGTTGTGTGGCTCGCTTCATGTTATGATTAGACAGCTCTGAGAAATGATCGAATACATTTTTTACAATATGTTAATTAGTTTCCTTTATATAACACCTTTTCCAAAGAGCCCTAGACTTAAACATCAAGTCTGAAATAGCAGCCGGACACAGAGAAGATGCTTTAGAGGTTTTTAAACAGCAGAGATTAGAACTAGAAAGTTGGGGAAAATACTTTTATAGATATGAATGAAACTAAGTTTAGCTGACTTCGCTGTATTAAACCCAGATTTCCTCACCAATTACTAACATCATCCAAACCGTGACTAATAATCTTCCTCAGAAACACTCACAGAGAAGTTTTCAAGAATTGCACAGCGTAGTGGATGCCATGGAAATCCAACCTGTTCTCACACAGAAGTTGCCACATATGGACGCTTGGTCCATGTTTCACTACATTAACCACTGGTTTTATTTTTAAACTGGACGTGGCATATTTATTATCGCTAATGTGACCACGGAGCCCTACATGTGCAGAATCAACGCCAAAGGGTCACCTTATGATAAAACAGCACTGTTTGAGGGGTTTAGATCAGGCGTCCATGTGTGACGAGCTGGAAGTGAGAATGTGTTGGGAAATCGTGTCTTTGTGGCTGCCAAAAAACTCAACACTTATAGGACTAAATAACATGTGGAGAGTAGAAGTATCATATCTTATACGTACAAATAAAACTCAGATGTACTGTATATATGTTTTTTAATGAAAGAAACCATGGCAAATACATTTACACATTTAGGGGGGAAAGTGGATCAAACGACTACAACAGATGCAAAACAGCTACAGAAAGACTCAACTTTAAAGGGATGCAAAACAACAGCTTTATAATCATAATCCGTCCTGTGCTTCTAACGCAGAGAAATAAGCATTTTAAACCTACATTTTCCTCCAAATGACTCAGAAGTGTGTTTTTTACCTGACAGAATCAAAATATTTAGGTGAATATTTTTTTAACTGTGGTTTCCAGATGGTTGTCATTTTCCCGGTTGAGCATATATGGTCGTCACTTGCAAGGTACCTGTTGATGAGAAAACATTACTGTCAACAGAATTTAGAATTAACTTTTGTTCCCGTTATCTGCAGTTTTATAATGAGAGTTGCTAAAAGAAAGGGAGATGTATAAACAACAATGTGTTCTGGTGATTGTAGAGTTTTTGTAGATGTGCTTTTTGCTCTGCTTTCTTTTGCTGTATGAGGAAATGCTAATACTACCTGTCTCCTGACATATTTCATGTTAAAAGCACCGTTCCCATTGTACTTTCTTTTACGGTAACACATTTAATGCCTCCTACCCAACGTTAAAGAGAGCTAATGATTAAAATCACCTTATTTATTTATTTCAGGCTTAGAGTTTCCAAATCGAAGAATATAGTGACTCATCAGGAGGTGTCTCTGTCAGAAGAATTAATATATAATTAATATATACAGTAAGCAACAAGCATCTAGAATGTTTGTTAAACTGTTGTGTTGATGAGTGGTCAGGCTTTACCTGCATTGTTTCCCGTTTCTGGAGGGTTATGGATTAGGTTGGCATAAAAGGGACTATTTTGGCTCGATCCATCTAAATATTGAAACATTTAACAAAATGTATTTATTAACCCGAACCAAACTGTGGGAGAGGAAGTGCAGATAATCCTCAGTGCCTGTGAGACAGTAGGCAGTGTCACTGTAAAGCGCTGCCAGGGCTGACCTGGAGAGGCATTAAGGCCTACAAGAGGACAAGTGAGGGCCGTTTCTCAAACAGTGATACAAGAAGAATGGCATCCAGCACATTACTAACTATAAGGGCATCAGTACCACATCCACCAACACACAGCTGAAATGCTTTCTTGCTCGTTTTTGCTCCATTTGAGGCAAAAACATCTAACCTGAACTCACCGATGCCACTGACCAATGGCTCCTGTGTACTCACTGTAGAGGAATATGAAGTGAGACGCGTACTTGGATTGGTGAACCAGAGGAAGGCTACTGGCCCTAATGGAGTACCCCTGGAAAAGTAATCATAAGTATGTGCTAGTGTTGTGACATTACTAACCAGCCTTTCACAAGCCTCTGACACTCACACCTATTATTATGAAGTGCTTTGGGAGACTGGTGCTAAAACACCTCCAAACCCACCTCCGCTCAGCCTACGACTAGGACCAGTTTGCCTACAGACATGGCAGATCAACAGAGGATGCTACTGCGGCAGATCTCCACTCAGCACTCAATCACTTGGAAATCAGTGGGAACTTTGTGAGAATGCTCATCATCATCCCGAATGTACTGATCAGCAAGCTGTCTGACGTTGGCCTCTCCACTCACACCTGCACCTGGATTCAAACTTTCTAACAAACCACCCACAGACTGTCAAGCTTGGACCCCATCTCTCCTCCACCATCGCACTCTGCATCGAGCCCAACACTGTTCTCACTGTACACAATGATGACTGCACGGCAGCCCATCCAACAAATAAAAATAAAATTTGCAGATGACACTACAGTAGTAACTGCATACAGGGACGAGGTTGTGAAACTGACACAGTGGTGCTCAGCTAACAGTCGGACATTAAACATAAACAAAAGGAGCAGCACAAACCTCCCACCATTAATTATAAAATTACATTTACTCATTTAACAGTCGCTTTTATCCAAAGCAACTTACAATTGCTATTCATGTCAGAGGTCGCACGCGAGTTGAACACGGGTCTGTCACACTGAAGGCATGGATCTTATCCACTGTCCCATCACCACCCCATCTTCAACAAAGCATCAATTCAGCAAGAGACAATAGATACTTGTAAGAGCAGCAATAAATACTAGTAAGAGCTAATAGCACGTATGGCATTAGGCAAGGCAAGTTTAATTGTATAGCACAATTTAACAACAAGGTAATTCAAAGTGCTTTACATAAAACATAAAAGCAACAGGGAAATATGTAAAAGTTTAAAAGCAACATAAAATAATAAAAGTTACAGTGTTACAATCAGGGTTAAAAGAGTTAAATGGAAAATAATAAAAAGCTAAAAACAAAGAAATAGAAAACAGAACAGTAAAAGTTACAGTGCAGTGTAAGTTATCAGTAAAAAGAAAAATCTTAAATATTTAATTAAAAGCAATGGTTAAAAGAAAAGTCTTCAGTCTTAATTTAAAAGAACTGAGAGTTTCAGCAGACCTGCAGTTATCTGGGAGTTTGTTCCAGATATACGGAGCATAATAACTGAACGCTGCTTCTCCTTGTTTGGATTTGACTCTGGGGACAGAAAGCAGACCTGATCCCAGACGACCTGAGAGGTCTGGATGGTTCGTAACGAAGCAGAAGATCGTAAATGTATTTTGGCCCTAAACCATTTAGTGCTTTATAATCTAACAGCAGGATTTTGGAATCAAATCTTTGACAGACAAGAAGCCAATGTAAAGACCTCAGAACTGGAGTGATGTGATCCACCTTTTATGTCTTAGTGAGGACTCGAGCAGCAGCGTTCTGAATCAGCTGCAGCTGTCTGATGGATTTCTTAGGGAGCCTGTAAGGACGCTGTTACAGTAGTCGAGTCGACTGAAGATAAATGCATGGACAAGCTTTTCCAGGTCCTGCTGAGACATAAGTCCTTTAATCCTTGATATATTCTTCAGGTGATAGTAGGCTGATTTTGTAATTGTCTTAATATGGCTCCTCAAATTCAGGTCTGAGTCCATGACCAAGATTTCTGGTTTGATTTGTGGTTCTTAACATTACAGACTGAAGTCGAGCACTGACTTTCAATTGTTCCATTAATCCCCATTAATGGGGTAATTACCAGTGGAGGTCTTGAGTAATGGAGTGACATGAGTCTTTTTGGGCTAATCAAAAACCAGACGCGCTGCTGCGTTCTGAACCATTTGTGAGGGTTTCACCGCACAAGCTGGAAGACCTGCTAGGAGGCAATAGTCGAGGAGAGATAACCATGGCCTGTACCAGAAGCTGGGTGGTGTAGTGAGCAAGGTAGGGCCTGATTTTCCTTATGTTATAGTGATAGTTGATATGATATGATATGATCAATATTTTCCAACTAATAACATCACTTGTTCTCTTATACTACTAATACTACTTTATTCGGCCATTCGTTTTTCACTGGAAGCATTTTTCAGATAAAAGTCCAGGTCTGGTTTTATTTACCTTGTCGGTTGGACCTGCATCTCCTAGAGGACAAGACGATGATGATGATGAGGAGGACGGTACCTATCCCAGACACCAAGCCATAAAGTAGAAGTCGGTCTTCAGGAGCAGATAGAAGACAAAGTCAAAAGTCATAACTACTTACAAAATGAAATATACAGACATAATGCTTGTCAGATATACAGCAGTACAGGGTGGTATCAACCTCCGGACAAAACATTTACTTCAGTACTTTATATAAGTACATTTCATGATTGGTTCTTTCTATTTTATGCTGCTATTTATTTATTTATTTTAATTGCCAACCTGATCTCATCTCAGGCGTCATATATACACGCTTTGGAAAAGCCGTGTCTATTGTATGCAAAACGGCGATTTTGCGTGTATTAAGGTGACCAGATTTCTGAGATTTTTTGGTTTGGTGGTCAGTCTGCCATTAAAAAATATAATGGTATTATATGTGAAATAAAAAAGTGGGACAATTTTGGTTTTATAATCTGTCAAATACAACTCTTGTGAATGAAATCAAGTCATTTTGAGGCAGAAACTACATTACCTTTCAGCCTCAATAAGTAGAGAGGGCAGTCACTTCCTGGCAAGTGAAATACTGCATTTTATGGGTTGTATTGACCATTTAAAGGTATTTCAACAGGTAAAAAAGGACTGGATTGGTTGGTAATCAGAAAGTTAAATAATGTAGTCATAAGGATAAATGCAAAAGGGATCATGAGAGATCAAATGTAAACAAGGATATTAGACATCCTATGCCTACCAAACACATATTCCATCAGCAACAACAGGCTTCTCTGTAATCATGTAAATGTTGGGCCCGATTATGCTGCAAATACTTATTTGGCCACAATTATGATTATTTTGTTAAAAGTAACGTTAAAGTATCACAAAAACATACCCTTGCTGTTACCACGGACATAAAGTGATGTTTATTTGCACGTTATGTCAAATTTGGAGTGAGTGTGTGTCTTACTGTTACCAGGATGGTCTAACTACTGGGTTGATAGGAACTACTTTTCCTTCCGCCTGTCAAAGTCATGCTTGCGCTACGGCTCTGTGACGGAGCTTCTTTGAAGTGCCGCTGCAGCCCTTTACATTTCCCGTGATTGAATCCTGACTCTGGCTGACTGTAAAACAGTCACGTCTGGCTGTGTTTTAGCTGTGAAGGTAATAATTATGCTCTGTGTGATGTGTGTGCAAAGATAGTGATATACTTTGGAAACACTGCAAACTTCGCTAAATATCTGAGATTAAGTCAAAATAATATGATGATGTTATGAAGCGGCAGTTCTGCGCAGGAGATTTTGATTATAATTAAAGAATATGACAGTAGTTTGATGTCTTGTCGTTATGCAGCTATTATTTTGAATTGGTAAGGCCACATCCTAATCCTTATTTCTCTCATAAATACAGAAACGGGAGAGGGAGGTCACATTAAACTAGAAATAAAATATGTAAAAAGTATTGGTATCAGTATCGGCAATACCAGCCTGGGTATTGGATCAGATAGGAATTAAATGGTATCACACAACCAATCAGAGCCAGGAGGAATCTCTAACACAGTGTCAGTCACTGCTGACTGACAATATCTTCAGCACGGCTTAATAACTTTTGCAAATACAACTGCCAATCCCTACTTTGCCAACAACATCGTAAAATACAAAGCACTGTGTGAACATGTCTTGGCTCCACAAGCAGCTCCAGGCTTAGGGTTTGATGCCATGGCAAAGAGGCATGATGACAGTGGGGAAATAACTTCTTAGGGGTGACAGTGGGGTAATAGCCGCTCATCCAGCTGTTAGACATTGTCACAGCTTCCTCTGAAGACTGGGAAGCTCGGCCCCAATACAGTGACTGATTGTTTTCGGATGTCAGGACACTACAGTCAGAGAATTAAAATGTTTAATACAGTCTCCAAACCAAGAGACTCTTTGCTCATTAAGTGCCTTTGAAGCTACAGTAAGTTATATTCAGAGATTAAATTCACTGAATATGCTCTCACTCACATTTGGTCACAAGTGGATCACTCATTGTTGGCTGAGTGGTTGAAACTGTAGATGTTTCTGTAATGATCAGACATGAACAGGAAACACGTTATTAGTTGAATTAAGCATCACGCACATACTGTATATAGAGCATTAAATATTGTAGAGTTACGTCATTTTCTTTTCATGCTTTTGGGTTGTTTGGAAAAACTTTGCTTCTTTAATGCTGTTATACCTGTGTTTACGAGCAGTGTGGATGGTGCAGTTGTTGCTGCTGAAAGAAATTCAGGTGTGGATCGTCTTGCTGTTGGAGGTGAAGGTGTTGTTAAGTTTGTTGGTGGATGTGAAGGCGGTGTTGAAGTCTCTGTTGGAGGTGAAGGTGTTAAGTTTGTTGGTGGAGGTGGAGGAGGTGTTGAAGTCTCTGTTGGAGGTGAAGGTGTTGTTAATTTCGTTGGTGGAGGTGGTGTTGAAGTCTCTGTTGGAGGTGAAGGTGTTGTCAAGTTCGTTGGTGGAGGTGGTGTTGAAGTCTCTGTTGGAGATAAAGGTGGTGTTGAAGTTATTTCTGGAGGTGAAGGTGGTGTTGAAGTTGCTGTTGACAACACATTTTTACTCCCGACTTGTCACATATTGACGCTTGGTCAAGGCCCTTTTGCGTAGTTTTTTGATGTTTAAGGCTCCGCGGTAAAGTTAGCAATGCTTAGCAACAGCAAATATGCAATGTCCGGTAAAGTTAGCAACAATAAATATGCAACATCTGGTGAGGCTTTCAAAATAAAACGCCATTTTGAAACGGCACGTTATTAAAGTCATGAAACCTTGCAATTTGGTTATGTTTAGGCAACGAAACTACTTGGTTATGGTTAGAAAAAGATCATGGTTTAACAAGTAAGTTACCTTATGTCACTTCCTTAATTTAGGCAATTTAACTGAAATAAAAATATTCAAGTTCAAAGTACAGTAAGTAAGTCCTTATAGGGTATGGTAACACTTTTTAAATAACCCCACCCCAGTCAGCTATTGTTCAGCTAGCAGTATTAGCATAGTGGTTGAAATTAGCAGGGGAAAATACAATTTAATCGAATATAAGTCATAGTATCTGAAATAGTATAGATAAAATGTCTTCTTGGTGAAAAAATGTACTTATCTCAAATTCAGTTCAGTCAGGACAACTTTCATCAAAGACTGATATTGCGGCATGGCTCTGTTCTGAGAGCACACCTCTCTGCCCTTCCACGTGCCTACGTGAAAAAGCCTGAGGCATAGAGCGGTAATATAAAACCCCCAAAACGACCTACCACCACTCCACATGCCTATGTGGAAAGTCATAAGGCAGGGAGAGCTCCTCCCCACCCATCCATGTACATACATGGAAGGCCCAAGGCAGAGAGCAGCAGAAAGGACCCTCCTGACGCCCACAACAACCAACCTGGTCTTCCATGTGCTTACGTGGAAGTGCCTGCAGGAGGACCCAACTGAACACCTATTAAAGCAAGTTACTCTAAATTACATAAGTAAGGCCATAGAATTATGCATATTGCTAGCTTGAGTTGCCATATATAAGTATTAAAAAACTCCAGCAGTTATATAACATAAATAAATGAGCTAACAGATACGGGCACTCGTGGCCCTGAATATTAAGGATGGCTTGATGGCTTGGGCCGACAGTATCGTTCAGCAGATGATGAACAACACATGTAGTCTTGGCAAAGCGCTGGCAAAGCACTCAGATATAGCCAATTGACTTTAGGTGTGTTGACGTTGTGCAGTAGCTACGTGACGTGCTGGATTTAAGCATAAGCATGCTGGTTAAAAATTCTGTTGGGACTTTCGAAAGGGCTGTTAAACGTCACCGTTTCACGTGACATGAACCTCTCTAATTAGCTGGTTGGGGTGCGGGTGGAGGATTTATACGTATATGATTATTCAGATCATGTCAGATCCGTGCATCACACCAATTCAGCTGCTATAATCGTGACAAAACAGTGTAAACAGCTGCTGATGTCAAATTATTAAGATGTAATTTCAACCAGAATATTCAGCACTAAACTGCTGTATTATATGTTGCTATATAGTAACAATTGTGCCCATTATGTATTCTGCACATGAAGTTCCAACAGTAGCAGGAGTCCTGAGATGAGAGTTTTACAATTGAGCCTAATGCATGTTGTGAAGATTAGTATGCATTTATCAGTAAGCATTGGGAGGAAGACCATGATGAACAGTCCATAGTTTGTGTGTCCACTGCACGGTTTAAGCCTTCACTGCACATGCACACGCACACAGAAGAAGAGAGCAAAATTCATCTTCAATAAAAGTATTTTTTGCAGGATTAGATTATTACTTTGTGTTGTATTGAATAACTGTGGTTATGTTTGTGTTGTGGTATGAATTACTGTAAATAAGCTTTATTACAAAAAGAAACCTGGGCCTCACTAATTTCTAAACCCGGGTCACGGCCCTGGCTGTTTAGTTTATTTATGAAGCTGCTACTATAACTGTAATTAAATCTATTTAGAGCCGGTTTAACTTTTAAAAGCATATTTTTCTCTACTTTTCAGCCCTGAATTCAAACTAAAATAACATTTTTATCACCACAAAACAAAGGTTTTCCAAAAATGTAGTAGTATTGGAAGTAATTGCAGTGCAGCAGCTTGAGCATGACTGATGGTAAACAGGTAGTGTTTATGGGCTGTAAAATAACTATTTAATACATGTTGAATAAAAGATAATTTAGAAGTTCTTACCTGCGCTGACATTGCAGCACAGAACAAAGGCTAACAGGCAGCTGTAGATCTTCATCCTCACACAGACTGAAGTGACTGAACCAACAAACTCTGTTTTATTCTGAGCTGAGGATGTGTAAACCGGACATTGTCATATTTATTTGGTCTTGTTGTGGTTAATGAACACTGGTGGTTCTTCGTATTTAAATATAGAGCATGATCACATTTACCTCCAAACTAATTCTATGCCAGCACAAGAAAGAGTCGTGACTTAGCTTACTGGTGAAGTCAAAGAACATGATCTTCACAGTGCTGTGTGGCTTCTCCAGGTGGGTGTAGGCTCTGTGAGCCCCTGCAGAGGTGTTTGTGTCCGTCAAAGCAGAAAACTAAACTAAACGCGGAGAGCAGACGTGCTAAACAGGAAGAAACAAGTTTTCAGCTAACACACAGATAATAACGTCACACTCTAATACTGGCAATCTGCGGGAAAACATGCAACTTGTTGTTAGCTGACAACAGTTTTTTTTAGACTGGCTGCAAAATGTGACCACAGAAAGATCACTACATGTCACAGTCTCCTTTTAAGTCCACATGAATACTGCGTAAGAATCTGTATCTGTCAAGCCTTCAGTTCTCATCTGTTTATGTCTGTATCGTGTAACTTCAATAATGGTGGTAAAATTATCATTGAAAATTAAATGAATAAAATGTAGGCAAAATAGTCACATGACTTTCAGTCAGCTGATACAGAGAGAGAGAGACAGAAAGAGGCCGAGCAAGTGTTTGCCATGAGAGGCCAGAGGTGCAGGCTAGGCAGGGCCGCACATAACGGTGGAAAAAGGGGAAAGCTTTCTGGGGCCCAGCTGCTAGGGGGGCCTATCCAGTCCAGCACTAATCATCCTAAATATAAGCGAAGATAACCACCTTTTATTTTGAATCAAATTACTCACCATTAGTTATTAAAACAACAAAAAAAAAAAAAATACAATTTATTTAATGTTTCTGTAGTGAAACATAACCAGTTTCATAATGAAACCCCCCTCTCCTGAAAATGGTATGAGTAATGTTTGTTGTACGCAACGTCAAAACATCCAAAGTTGGCAGGCCATGTATGTGCCTTTTCAGGGTCATTTCCGTGGGCAGGCCTGAGACTAGGTGTGTGTGCATGTGTGAGTGTGGGGAGAAGAGGAGCAGATTCAAGTAGTAAATGTCAAGTAAACTGTCAATGCAAATACGAAATACACTGCTACCAGCTGTCGCCGCTGCCGCCACCACAGTTGCAGAACAGTCCCGGAGCAGGTGTGTCGCGGTTTCCGTCTCTGTTTCAGAACAGTTAAAAATTATACAGAAACAAATAATATTCTTAGTAATTTAGGTGGCAATGATTTTGTGGGCTGAAATGACAAATGTCAGTAACATATTTTGTTTGTCAGACTGTGGTCTGATGGCTGGAGTGTGGGACCCAAGACTGGCAACGGGGCAGATGGACTTGAGGCCAGCAGCAGGGGAAGACGGTACCCCTCTGGAGGTTGATCAGGGGAACGGTAACGCCATTGTCTTTTAACTTGTTAGGCCTATCGGAGCTAATTCACCATGATAGAAGACCAAGACCTGAGTATGACTGTTGGAGTGCGGGACCCAAGACCAGCATCAGAGCAGCTGGAGTGAAGACTGGCAACAGGGACTAGGAGTCAGGCAGGAGAGCCAGTGGATCCAGGGACACACTAGGCTGTTAAAGCACAGGATCAACTGCTGAGAGTGAATAGCTATGAATGTGGGGAGGGGCCAATAAAGAAGGCCTATGTACAGGGTCCAGAAATTTTGTGCTTCGCCCCTGCCTAAACCAATGCTAAAACAACGCTCAAGACTTAGCCAGTGCGTTAAAAAGTGACGCTGGAGAGGTCTTGACTAACTGTCCGTGTGTGTCAAGTTGGGAGAGAGAATGTGTTGGGAAATCATGTCTTGTGGCATTTTGGTAGTGGCTGCCGAAAACCTAAAACTTATGTACATGTGAAGAGTAGAACCATCATATCTTAGTGTATATATGTTTTTTTTAATGAAAGAAACCATGGTAAATACATTTACAAGAAAAACAGTTCAACACAAGGCCCATTGTCTATTAATCTGTCAATGCTTCTAACACAGAGAAATAAGCCAATAAATGACCTAGAAGTCTGTTTTTACCTGACAGAAACAAAATATTCAGGTGAAACTATGTAAAAAATTATTCATTGTTGTTTCCAGGTGGTTTGCGTTTCCCCGATTAAACACATGTGGAGTCATCAGCTGTGATGTACCTGTTTATGAGAAAACAGGTAAAATGAGTTTTTGTTGATGTTGCTCTCCTTTTTAAGCTCAATTAGGAAACCGTACTTTATTTTATGGTAACACATTAAAAGCCCCCCACCAATCATTAAAGATATATAATGATTAAAGTCACCTTTATTATTTCCATCAGGCTTTGGTTTCCCAAAGCAAAGAATATGGCTACTCATCAGTTAGAGGTGTCTCTGTCAGAAGAAACAATATATAATTAAACAGCAACAAGCATCTAGAATATTTGGTTGAAATGTGTGTTGATGAGCGGTCAGGCTTTACCTTTATTATTCCCTACTGTGGAGGATTATGGATTATGAGGGCATAAAGGGGGTTACTTGGACTCAAGCCATCTAAATATTACAAAATTGCAAATACTTATTTATTAACCAGAACAAATAGTGGGAGATTGTGCTGTTGGCTGCAGAGAAAAACAATAAATGACACTGGTGCGACACAGGTGTACGAAATATTTGAATCTAATTATGAGGTGGTTTTTTAATTCTAATGATGAATCGATAGAATATAAATTACATAAACATAGTAAGAGGACAGAGCCATGATGACACATTTATTTCTTCTTTATCTCTAAATAAAGACTTTACGCTTTCAGTGCCTTCAACACTAACATTGTTACTTACACTTTAACATGGCTAACACTAGTAGCCTTGCTAAAGCAATGTACCTAACGTTAACAACGTCACGTAACTCACATAAGTTACGCAACCTACGTAACTTCAATAAAAAAAAAAAAAAAACTTGTCTTTTTATTTAATCTTTCCTCGGCGTCTTGGGTCAGGGACCAGCTTACTATCCATCTGACCACTCTGCCACCACCTTATTGTTGGACTTTTATGGTTGTTTATATCCCACACATGCTGCATTTCAATATAAAAGTCTAAGACTGGTTTTATTTACCTCGTCTGTTGGACCTGTATCTCCTAGTGAACAAGACGATGATGACAAGGAGGACGAGGAAGATGAGGAGGATGGCACCGATTCCAAACACCACACCATAAAGTAGTTGCCGATCTTCAAGGGTAGATGGAAGCCAAAGTAAAAATTCATAACTACTTACAAAATGAAACAGTACAAACAGACATAATGCATGTCAGGTATACAGCAGTCCAGGGTAGGAACCTCTGTAGAAAACAATTTACATCAATACTGTACTTAAGTACAATTCATAATCACTTGGGTATTTCTGTTTTATGCTGTTTTATACTTGTTTGGCAGTTGTAGTTACAACGTACTTTTCAAATTATATATATATAATAAGATTTATCTCATTAATATACGTAAAGTAGTTAAAATAAACTGCACCTCAACCCACAACATCAAAAAGTTGCAAAATGTTGTTAAGTAATATTATTATTGCCATTTTGCAGATTGAGGACTGTTGAGGACATTTGGTTCATTTTCAGATAATGATTGTTATTAGTGCAATACTTTAACTTGTGAAACAAGTAAATTATTTGAAAACAGAATACAGATCACTTAGCATTGGTTTATCTTTTGTCCTGACAAGTATGATGGTGGTTGCATGACTATCAAAGACTACCAAAAGCATTATTTGACTTGTTGAAGGCTGATATTGTTTCTTTTATTACAATTTAAAGATGGCCTATAGAGTATTCTGGCCACTGTTTGGAAAAATAAAAGTCCCTGCCAAGAGAATTGACCCTTTAGATATGAGACTGACTGACTGATTTATGAGAGACTTATGGATTAATATTTTCTGAACATTAAAATTCATAATTGCGTATTAATTCTAATAAATTTATTAAAAATCATACATAGCTTTAGACCTGCTACACTCAGATAATTATTTTTCTAACACTGGTCCTATTATAGTACTTTGTAGCAAGAAGATAAAAGATCTGAAGTGTAACTAGTCTCAAAAGTAATGTTGTCATACCTGTGTTTACTATTGGTGTGGATGGTGCAGTTGAAGTTGCAGTAGAAAGTATTGTTGTCTTAAGATCTTTAGTGAAGGAAGGAGAAAACAACAGAGAGCTGGCATCATGACATCAATTCCTGTCATAGCTTCTGTAACTTAATGAAACCTCTCATTCAGCATTTCATTCATTCCTTATGTAGCACAGTTAATAAGTAACATATACATATATGTAACTCGTTGTGATTAAAATCCTTAACACCAAGGGCACTGCTGACAGTTCAGGTGTGTGTACACTTGACAAAGAAACAGTTTGTAACAGTCAGTCATGTTTTTTGTTTACGTTTTGGGTGCACCTGGAACGCTTGGAGGTCTAAAGTTGGAAAGCTGTGTCTCTGACTGGAAGGCAGCAGCTTCCAACGCTGTATAGTTATTTCTACCCCATTGAGGTGATATGTGCTGTGAGCTCTTTCTAGTATTTATTGCTGCTCTTACTAGTATGTATTGTCAGTTGTAGATCTGTAGTTGATGTTCTGTTGATGCTTATATGTTGTTCCTCAAATGTGAGTCGCTTTGGATAAAAGCGTCTGCCAAATGAGTAAATGTAAATGTAAATGTATTTAGCACAGTTATGTAAAGTTTTTTAGCACAGTTAGAAATGTCAGTGGAATTTTAAATTTGGAAGTTTCAGTCTCACTTCAGCTCTCTACTACTACTTTAATATGCCACAAAATGATTCACAATGATTGAAAAATTAACTACACACTGTCCATTTTTGTTGGAAAATCACTCTCCAACTTAATATACTTTATGAACAACAGAAAACACTTTGCATTCACTATTACTGAAAAGAGAAAGCAGAA